CGCTAGTCGCTGAGGCCGAGCCAATTGAGTCTGGTGAGTTGATAGCCAATGCGGCTCCGAATCAAACAGTCTCAGTCTTGTGGCGTCAATGTACTCAAATGGCTTGAGGCCATGGTCTCAAATCGCAGCGTTGGGTTCGGCTTGGCTAGTTTGGCATCTATATGACTATGGGATGTGTCTACAATATGGCGGTCGACCTGCAGCTGCTTTCAACCTCTCAATATTGCTTACAATTATTCCTTATCACATTTTCAATCAACGAGTCTGTTGTCTTCTGTAATTCAGAATTATGTACATGCATGTGTTTGCTAGACGTTCTGCTGCCTGTAAACCCGAATACCCTGATTTGTTCTTAATTCCGTACAGTGTCACGCAACGGTCAATGAGAGCCAATAGAAATCAACGTTTTGTCACTTTTGATGAACTCCAGCGAGCGTAGGTGAAAATATGGACCAGTTTGATGAATATCTCGCTTTTGGTTTTTGGGCACATAAAGTCGCGAATGCGGATGCTTTTGCGACAATTTATCTAGCTACGACTGTCTCTTCAGCTATTTAACCTCTTCAGCTATCGCGGTCGTCTAGACAATCTTTCTTCCAAACAAAGAGAAGTTCATGACAGGCGAAGTTGGAGCAAAAATTGCCGAGCTGTTATAAGCACAAGCATCGATCGTGGGAGTTGCAGTATTGGCAGAGCTAAACGAGGCAGCGATTTTAGAACAATGGCTGAACATTGAACAGACAATGTGTTGATGGGTTAGGACAATGTCATTGTTCGCTATTCAAAGGTCTTATTCAACTTCAACGCCTTCAAGCTAACAATCTGAAGAACACAAAACACCAAGCAACACATATTTATCGACACCATCTTAGACTTCATAAAACTACTGGCCCTCATTTCTTCCAAATTACATTAATTTACATCACATCGACATGTCACCCACAAGCAACCCTTCAGTTCGCGGATTCTTCACATTACACCACAACTCGCCAATCTCTGTTAGAGATGGTGAGTGTATTGTTCAAGAGGCTCCCCACAACCAACTACCAACCTGTCCTACACCTTCGAGTCACGCTGCATCACCACAAACCCTTCGTAAAAAATGCGCAATGTTGGATCTGCACGACCGAATCAACTCCACAGACCGGATCAAGTCACGTTTTTCAGGCTTTGATCATGCTCTCAAAGAGGTAAACGACAAACTACCGCCACCTCAAGTCGTCTCCTCTTCTCCACTGCCACTCACTAAACGTCAACCCAGTGGGTTCATTCCAGACCAAGAGACACAAAATGAGATCTCGAGACGATTTGCCAGTCTTGCCACGGAATATATCAGCCGCGGGCCGCAATTTCTTGAAGAGCAAGCAAGAAATGCGAAGGAGTCCACGCAGTATCAAGTTACTGGACTCTTTACCTCGGTTTGCATAACTGATCCCAAGCTCCGTGGGAATCCAATCAAGTTCCGTTCCAAAGACTTCGCTTTGGGATCATCTGGTCTAGAGGTCGCAGACTGTCATTTTCTCAACATCCCGCATGGTTATACCAGTGGCTGTACAATCTGCGTAGAGATGGATGCCCACCAACAGCTACGGTTTGTGCTGTTGCTGTGGGATCCGCTGCTCCATGTCGAATCCGGTGATACGAAGGCCATCCTCGCATCCCAAACCGACATTTCGGATGTCGTTCATCAGTTAGCTGTCGAAGATGCACTGCAGACCGGCTCTACAGACAGCGCGGAATGGATGCCAGAGGACTGGTTGAAGCTTGCCGTGCTAGAAGGAGCACTGCCTCACTCTCAAGAACCACCAATATCTCATGCTCTTGGCCAACCCTCACAAGTTATGCAACGGTTTCTCTCATTCCTACACCAGATGGTTTGCTTGCACTCCTGTTTTATGGTCGTCAAGCCGGACCAAACTGGGGGGGGTGGCAGTACGAGCAAGATTGTTGTCGAGCGCCGCTCTACTTCTCTGGTATCTCCTCAACTTTTTGACAGCCCGCTGAAGTCTCAACTCCTTGAAGCCATCAGATCACCTCGGCTAGATCGATTGGACATGCGCCAGATGAATACCTCCACGGAGAAAACGAGGTACCAAGAAGCTCAGGAAGCAGTAATCTTCATCACTGTGCCGGTCTCTGATAGAGCCGCCAACCCAGATATGGCCGCTCATTGCAGTGTCTGTTTTGTCTTGGATGGACACGCTCGCCCTTTCTTAACCTTTGAGGAGACTTGGGTATAACGTGGGTGTATTTCGAGTGGATTCTCGTCTTAGTTTTGCATCATTGGAAGCCAGGTAGCCGCTGAAAATTTCCCAGAGGATAATTTAGACTATCACGCCTGCAGTCCTTTGGGGCAACAATTCCAAACTATCCCTTAAGCTATATGGCAGTTTCTTTATTGTCCCGACTCAAAGTCGTTGTAGGAAGTGGCCCGAAGCGCAGAAACGTGTCCGGTCGCATTGCATTGCTGTATTTAAGTCAACCTTTTCTTTCAGTTCAACGGTGCATAAGGTAAACGATATCTAGAGCAAGTCGTTGCCAGATTACCTGAATTCAAGCCCATAACATATTGCAAAACTATTCACCTTGAGAACCATTGTCAGTGACGGGAAGTGCCACCATCCCCCCACCCAAGGTATCTCGTATGCTAAGATTAAGGTGATTGTAAATGGCATACCAATAGAAGTATGAAAAAATTCGCTGTCCATTTGTCGTATTTTCGATAGTATTATTTGTCTAAGTTGTTCATTCGCGTCTGCCATGAACTTTCGTAAAGCTGAATAGTCTAAAATTCCAAACTGGGTTGAACCTATTGGTTGTGTGAGGGCCAAAAGCAGATGCAATGTTTTTCGTTATTTCCGGTAGACCCTTAGAACTAATGCGGTAAGTTGGAGATCCCCAATTCATGACGAAACTACTGCTAGACCATCAACGCATAGAATCGGTCTCCCACCTCGATTCGAATTCATACTAATACCCAGCTTTACTCTTCTCACGTTATTTGGTAGTTCAAAAACAGAGCTCGACAAATGGCACCCTCTCTACCAGATGAGATGCTCGCATGTCAAGTAGTTGAGGTATGGGAATTGAATTTCGCAAACCGCGCATTCTAATAGTGTTAATAGTACAATCAACCATATGAGATACACAAGGTTCCAACACCAAGGGATCCTGGGCCATACGACCTTATTGTCAAAGTAGTGGTAGCATCTCTGTGCCATACCGATGGCATGGTCAGCGCTGGTGATTTCAAGACTAAATTACCATGTACAGGATCCCACGAGGGAGCAGGGACTGTAATTATGACCGGATCTTCCGTCTTTACTTCTGACTTCAAAGAAGGCGATCGTGTCATGTGTGGATTGAAAGTGCATCCTTGCGGAAAATGCAATGACTGCCGTGGACTAGAGAAGTATCGGCAGTATTGCAGGAATGATGATGGAATAATTGGTGTGACTCGCGATGGAGCGTTTGCGGAATATGTTCTCGTTGACTCCAGGATTAGTGCCAAGCTGCCAATGAGCGTGAGTTTTGAGACTGCAGCACCACTTGCATGTGCTGGCTGTACTGCTTGGAGAGGCGTTCTGCAGTCTAAACTCAAGTCTGGTCAGTGGCTCGCAGTCGTTGGGGGCGGTGGAGGATTGGGACATTTGGGAACGCAATTTGCGAAAGCTCTTGGGATCAAAGTCATTGCGATCGACGCCCGAGATGAAGGATTAAAGTTGAGTGAAGAGGCGGGGGCGGATGTTACGCTTGATGCGAGAAAAGGCGACGAGTACCTGATTGAGCAGGTCCAAAAAGTGACCGGCGGTGATGGAACAGATGCAACGATCAACGTATCTGATGCAAAGACGGCAGCTGCCACGGCTTGTGCAGTGACTAAGATGCATGGAGTCATGATTCAAATTGCTCAGGTCAGTATCTTTCTCCGTTCTCTTGAAGATTTCACGTGCTGAAGTGCCATGTCCAGCCGGAACAAGTGTGCATTCCGTTTCATCATTTCATCTTCCGCGACATTAGAGTTGAGGGAAGCCTGATTTGTTCACCTGACGAGGCGAAGAGGATGCTAGACGTGGTGGCCAAGCATAAGATTTCAGTCCGCACCAATCCATTCCAGGGATTAGAGAAAGTTCCAGAGTTAGTTGAGTTGGCACACAGTGGGAAGATGTCTGGGAAAGGTATCGTCGTTGTTGATCCGCAACAGATCGAGGAGGAGAAGAAGTCCGGTGTTGAGATGGTTTGAATTGGGTCAGTGGTCATTTTCTTCGAATGTGGTGTGTTTGGGAGCCTGGATAGAACATTTCAAGGCTTCTTTTGTTCAGAAATCTCGTCCTGATCAGTTCCGACCAGGTGAGGAATAAGCGTATTCTGGGTCGTGGCGAGATATTATAGATCAAGCCAACATGTTGCTACATTCCGAGCCTGTCCGCCTCCTTGACACTTCTGACAGCTCTAAGTAGTGGAGGGATTGAGTAGGTACCCGTTCTCGGGTACACGGAAACAAACTCTTTGCTATCCTGGGCTGCCAAATACAGTCTAGGATTCTGGAATTTGCATTTTGTACACGTGTAATGATTTCAGGCTATTGTAGCTTCTCTCGTTCACCATAAATATGCTGGTGGGACGTAGAAGTAGTGAGCATGCTTGAACTGTCTTGATAAACTTGAACAACCCGGCGATGGCCTATCTAGAATGAGAAGAAAAAGACATGAGGGGATATGACGTTGCACAAGCGAAGAAGTTGATGCTGGTTGAGGGAATCGATGACTACGCGTAGCAGGTTAAGAACTGAAAAGACAGGAATGGATTGTTTCATGGAAGAGCTCCGGAAGGGAGTGTATATTTGAGCCTTGGCTGGCCGAATCGGAGGGTTATTCGTCCGACTTCAGGCCGGCAGCATTTAACGAGTTTTGAAGTCAGTGCCGGCTGCCAAGGCGCAATTGATGCTAGTCATGTATAGAAACACAGAAATCTGCTCTCATCTTGCTTCTACACAATCAGCCTTCATGGCGCAGTGGTAACGCGTCGCACTTGTATTATCTGCAATGCGAAGATCCCTAGTTCAATTCTGGGTGAAGGCATGCATACACTGGCGAGATACATATTTTTGCTCTTTTCATCTTCCCATTGCCCTTCGAGAGTGATGTGGGAAAGGCATAACGAGCCTGATCTTTGGTTGTGGCGTTCAAATTTTTGCTAAGCATCCACGAAACTAGTCTGATTGGTTCGCTTGCTATGGAACTAGCTCCGCCGATGTATATCTCGTATAGAACGGCACAAATATCTGTCCGAAGGTAAGAGGTCTTTCCCCCCCCAAATTATAAGAAGGCAGCCTGATCTATTTGATGTGTAGGTAATCGCCCATTTGAACGATTGCACTTACATTCCTCTACAAATTGTCTTCTTTTTACCTCTATCATGGAATAATATCCACGCAATGCAATGGTCTTCTTCGCTCCTCATTCCGCGTATGCTGAGGATCAGAAGTATGCCAAATCAATCTTAACATATCATGTCCTGCGCTCCGGAGCTACAATGGGAGCCATTCTAGCTATTCCATTCGCGATCAGGTCCACCTTGTTCCAAGGCCCTAAGACATTACCAGCCTTCTCGTCAAACCTTTTCATACATTCCTTTCGCGGCACACTTGGTGGACTCCTCTTCGGTGCACTCGCCTTGGGAGGTCGAATGTGGGACAAGCAAGACATAGAATGGCAGGACCGCACATGGAGGCTTTTGGAGAATAGGGGGCAGATTGAAGTCGATAGATGGATATTTGAGGGCGAAGTCATAGGAGGGTCTGGGACACTATTGGCAGCGAGGATGGGTAGGCTTCCCTCCGCATTAATAGGAAAGACCTTCACGGCAGTGATCGGAGGGATTGGAATTGGTGCTGCGGCTAGTACCACTGGGTATGTCCTTTGGAGACATGCTATATGGAGAGGAAAATTCCCCGAGAGAAGATACACGATCTCGAAGGAGGATACAACACTGTGATAAAAATGGTTGCAGCATGAGGACCTTGTCTACTCGGTTGTACTAGCTGAAGTCCGGAGTGAGGCAAAACTCATCCATTTTCTGTGTCGTTTCAACACCATAAGTCAATATGTGGATTAATGTTATACTCGCCTTCGACGTGTACATTAAGTGCTAGTCAATGCCTCGGTAGCACAGTCAGACCGGAAAGCCTGGCAGAAGGATGAGCAAAGTCCGGGAGTTCGACCACACATTTCATTCGAGCTAGAAGACCATTCGATAGTAAGGACCAGCAAACAAGCAAGAGTTATGCACCACACCGCCCGGGAGGCGGCAGAGTCTTCCGCAGATTGAATGCACCTGCCCGGCCTCCCTTTCGGTTTTGAGAGATTTTTGCATCTCGGACCTGGTTGGTGGTAATCCTGCTGAAGATCTAGGAATTATGGCGTGCCGATTAGCGCTGTGTAACGAAGAGTTGCAGCAGCGGGCCGGCCACCTCAGGCTCTTACGAGCTCCTGAGACCAAAAAGGCAGCTTTCGAGAAAAACGAAAACAGAAAGAGGACCAAAACCAGGGAAAAGAGCGCCTCCAATTGTATTTGTAGATCAAAGAATACAATTCGATATGCAGGAGTTCCTCCTGTCGCACTTCAGATAATCGTACTGTGCAATGTTATGGCTGAAGCTAGGGACGGATCGATAAGGATAGGAAACCCATATCTGAACACAATTAAGATCTAAACAATCTGGCTGGCATAATGATTGGATGCTGGACTAATATTTCGTGTGTCGTGTGACGTGCGTCGTGTGTTGCTGAGAGATGTTCATATGATCGGAGAGGTTGAAATCCCTACTGTCATGATGGTTATCACGACAGCACGGTTTCGTATGCTCGAGCAAAATGTTTCTTCAAGTAGATGTCATTCACACCTCATGTTACTGTACTGGAGGGGTATAGATCCACCCTTTAGTCATACCCCAGGTTACCGGTAGGAAGCGCCAAGTGACGCTTAAAGCGGGTAGTAGATCCAGACCACCTGGGCATCTCTCCAACTTCAAACTACATTTCGGCGATGCGGAAATCAGTCCTGTTAGGATAAGTCACTTACTGCTAGATTCAACAGTAATACGCAACCGGGATCTCCGTTCGTGCGAACCCCTACTCCTTTTGTGCGACAGGAAATACGCGCCGCAGAATCTTCACTCAAACCCCTGCTCCTTTTGCGCGACAACAAATACATTTCTTCCGTAGTTTCCTGCATTAGTCCCAAGACTATGGGTCCCAAGTATGCCAGCAACGCCCGGGTTGCACGAGGGTCTTCGACGAAGAAAGAACCCACACCCGTGCTGGGCGCTACAAGAATAGCAAATCTTATCTGGCATTCTGACCGAGGCACGTAAGGCCACCCGAGCCGATATGGATGAACCCGGTGAACTATTGGTCTGTTCCTGTAAGCGATGACTTTAAATCCCGGGAATCTTACCATCAATGCGCACGAAAAAACTTGGGAGTAAATATTCTTACTATGATTCTCTCATCTAGATTTCGTACTTCTTCTTGGCTTTCACATCGTGCGGCCCTTGCTATGCTGGGCGTTCATTTTGCCGATCATAACGCCGGCTTGCACTGCATACGTTCTGCAAAGGATGCTCCAAGGCTTGCTTAATTTCTTGGACGTCCTGGGGGCCGACTCCACACGGAAAAACTTCTTGTCTGAAGAATTTTGACCGTTTGTAACTGGCTCAAGATAGAGTTGTCGTACATGAGACCATTTCAGACCCGTTGTTTGACGTTCAATTGCTCCGTGGTGGGTGAGAGTTGAATATTAGAAGCTCGTGGTCAGATTGATTAACACTGAGTATATTATGTCTCCCTTGTCCAACATTAACGCTCTAGTCTCGGGGTGGACTAGTTTCCAACAGCCTGGTGCACGTTACTGCTCCTGGGTTCAGGCCGATGTGACAGATAAGCCTAAGCTGCCCCACAGTACGCCTTCCAGTTCACCTTGACGGAGCCTCTTACTATTCGGCTTAGTCCCCCATTCCACTTCGGCGTTGCCAAGCGGTAATTGCCTAATTTAGTAGCTACACTACAGTCTCATCCACCTTCAGCTTCTTCTACATACGCTCGTCCTTTCCCCGCATTCTTATTCTCTCTATTTAAGCAGTCTTGATTCCTTGGTCCTGTGCACAAACCTGGAAGTTGTGTTACAAAACATTTCAGACCAAACATCTTAGAGCAATCTTTGTCTGCAATGGCCGAGGGTAACATCCCCTTCGAACTTCAAGGGAAGGAGCAATCTGTCAATATTGACAGTACGCTGTCTGATACTTCATTTACAAGCTTCGATACCAAAGCTACAAAGCGTCTGTTGAGGAAGATCGATCTGGCACTTATTCCATTTCTGTCGCTTCTCTACCTGTGAGTAGGCCTTTTCTTGTGCATACCGATCTTCCCCATCTGTTTCGGCATCAAATTTGCCCACAAAAATACTAATATATCTACAGTCTATCCTTCCTCGACCGCACCAACATTGGAAATGCTCGCCTGGCTCATCTGGAGGAGTCGTTGCATATGCGCGGCCTCCAGTACAATGTCAGCAACTATCACCTAATCTCATGACCGCTATCATTTACTGACTACGTATCAAGAATGCGCTGGCTATCTTCTTCCCATTCTACGTGGCTGCTGAAGTTCCATCCAATCTCATGATGAAAGCAACTCGCCCATCGGTCTGGATTCCTTTCATCATGGTCATGTGGAGTATTATGTGCATTGTCATGGGATTGGTCAAAAACTATGGGGGACTCATGGCTGCGCGTGCGGCTCTTGGCCTCGCTGAGGGGGGTCTCTTCCCTGGCGTGACTTTTTAGTACGTTGATTGCATTCTATTCGACTCCTCAAAGCCCATCACTTTATTGATTCGCCACAGCATTACAATGTGGTACCGCCGCCACGAATGCGGTTTCCGTATGTCGATATTCTTTTCTGCTGCCACAGCAGCTGGCGCATTTGGTGGTCTTCTCGCCAGAGGAATAGCCGAAATTGACAAGGTGGCCGGTCTCCGTGCATGGCAATGGATCTTCATATTAGAAGGCATAGCCACATTCGTAATTGGTAAGCACCATTACTCTCAAACGGTTTTCACCTGGAGGAGGAAAAGGGATGAACACAAGTGCTAACTCTACCCCTCAGCATGCATAGCCTTCTTCGTCATGCACGACTACCCCTCTACCGCAAAGTTCCTCTCCGCCTCCGAAAAAGAAGAAGTGTCCCGCCGACTCGAATTAGACCGCTCCTCCCTCGCCGATGAATTCTCCATGCAATACGCCATGGACGCCCTCAAGGACTGGCGCATATGGATGAATTGCATAATCACCGTAGGAATCTTCACACCGCTCTATTCCATCTCGTTATTCCTCCCCACCATAGTGCGAGGCTTGGGCTACAAAGATAACTTAGCACAACTCATGACAGTTCCTCCTTACGTCGTCGCATGTGTATTCTGCATCTCATGTGGCTACGTCGCTGACAAATACCGTCAACGTGGTATTTTCCAAATCGCAATGACCTTACTTGCCATTACCGGTTTCGTCATGCTTCTCGTCTCAGAAAATCTACAAATCAAATACGCTGGTACATTTTTGGCCGCCAGTGGCATTTACGCCAATGTTCCGCAGTGTACGGCTTGGAATGGAAATAACGTCGGTGGATCCACGAAGAGGTCTGTGGGGATGGCTATGCAAGTTGGCATTGGTAATCTGGGAGGTACAATATCGGCATATATTTTCTTGCCAAAGGATGCGCCGCATTATAGGCGTGGCCATGGTGCACTTGTGGGGTTTTGCACCATGGCTTGTTTGTTGTCGGTGTTGATGACTGTGTTGTTGAGGAAGGAAAATGCGAAGAGGGATAGAGAGAATAAGAAACCGGAGGAGTATACTACGGAGGAGAAGCTGGCGGAGAGGCATTTGGGGGATAGAGCTTCTTTTTTCAGGTATACTGTGTGAATACCACTCTCGGTAGATGCTCTTGGAGAGCTTTAGAACTATTCCTACCATCTAGAATAGAAGGGACCAAAACAGGGCAAACACAATGGCTCGCAG